CTCCAACTAAAAATGGGTGCTTACCATTTTCGGGAATACAGATTCATTGGAACCACATACATAGGCAGCCACTGTCCTACATTAGAGAAAATGGCTCGGAGCACACTTTGCAGGCCATCAAGAACTGGAAAAATAAGGAGTGATTTTTACTATCTACCTGCTAATGTTTGTTCTATACGGGTACGTGCGTACGTCCTAAAAGTTCTGGAATAAATTTCACACAGCTGTTCTTCTAGCTCACTGCCTGTAATAACTACTCTGCTAAATAGAATACATTACGTGCTATGCTCTATTTTACGTACGAGTTCAATGCTTGCTAGTCTTTTTCAGCTCTATATGCATTTCTTTGTCTGCGATATTTCCGACCCACAGTAAGTAATGGATGAAAACAGAAAACACGGCATCACTATAGCAACAACCGCCGAGCTCTTCAATAACAAAGGAAATTATCACTACCCGCACACCACTCAGCAGTCATGTCTAGGTAACAAATGGTCAAGAAGAAGCGGTGTAAAAGGAGCTGTGCCACTTTGTCGACATTCAACCTAACAGCCCGATGTAGTGTGCTCAATGGCATTTCTGTGGAGATACCCGGCCGTCGATTACGTACTAAACGCTTGTACATGAACTACATCGTACAAACGTCAAAATTATCCTATACATATTGATTGTCACAGGAGATACTTCCAAAAAAAGTCTTACATAGTGAGTATCCCTTTGGATTCTCAAAATAGCCTATACACAAGGTGACGGTGTAGTTGGTGTCAGTGGGTCTATTTCGTTTGGCAGCCGCCGTGACATCGATGCTTACGTTAGCAGTGAATACTTGCTGAACTCTACAGTCTCGATTATTGGATATTTGAGAGTGTCCATGATCTTTTTCGTCGTTTCCAATTTTGCTTGGTCCATTACTAACATGAAGAGATACTTGAGGCGCCAGCGAACCATTTCGAGTTCAGTCTTCAGAGATAAAACCAAGAAGATTGGACGACATTAGCAACGCCGGTCGGAATGACATTGACGGTGGTGTTAGAAAGCACTGAGACATGGAAATGAAGTACGGGAAGTATATATAGCCAGATAGACGAGAATTAGAGCCAGGCTGAGGAATGAAAAGCGGCCGTGGACTACGAATTCCCAATCTATTCATCTGACGCACGCGGTCGTCCAGACGGAATTTGGATAAAATTGCCAATACGCGAAAGAAAACTCCACGAAGACTGAGCAGACAGCGAACGGCAATTGACGAAGGGCACAAAGGAACGGAACGAATTAGAGAAGGGGTAACATCTTTCAGTCCTCTTTCAGTCTGCTATTTCTTCTTGCTCTACTATTTACTACTCTTCCGTTTTGTAATGATTGGCCTGGCAGGGTGGCCTGCGCAGGCGGGATTGTGGCAACGCCTGAAGGAGTAGGTCTGTTCTAGTCGTAAAGTACTATAGCACCGATGAGTGATTGATATATTATAGATCGTTGCTTGTTGGCCGGCTAACCACCAGAAGATCGATCTGTTTAGGCTAGGGAGCCGAGCAGGAACTCACAACAAGTAAGAGGAGCTATCGGGCGACGTAGATAGAAAGTCAGTTTAAGGCCGAAACTACCATAGAAGTACAAAATAAGCCGAACGGAGGTACTTAAATAGATGCTTACATGACGCAGAGATATTTACGTGTACTTGCTAACGGAACTATCGCGGTATTCTAAAATCGTACTAGAAACTTGTAAACTGGAAGAGAATTGTATAAATATGGCCTGCAGCGTGCCAAACGTGCTCTAATTTATTTAATCTCGTCTAACGCTTCTTTGGAGCTTAGTAAACTCGTTAAAGTAAGACATGTTTGTTAATAGTGAGACCCGAAGGAAATAATTCTTAGTTAACGAAACTTAATGCAGTGATAGCCCTGCTTACGTTGCCATTCGCATAAAGCAGACACATGTTGGCTAGGCACCGTTCCATTAGATATTGCATCCTGAAAATGTTTGTTGATAAACTATCGTTATCAACAGTCACTTACACCTTCCTTTGTACAGTAAATAGACATCAGAATATTCACTACTCGAGTAAAGAGCCTTGATACTGTTAAAATGAATACGAATAATGTTTAAGCATAGTAACATAACTAGGCCAATTTCCTTAAGCCCATAAAGGACAGCATAGCTATATCGCTGCAAAAGCACACACAGTTCTATTAACGTTCACATCTAGCTATTTAACGATCAGAATTGCCTGCCTTCCTGGGGGTTAATCTGTTAATGACCAGGTGCTCGCATGTCACATGCCTGATATCGCCGTGCACGAACATACCAGGACAGGTAACAAAGAGCCTGCTCTATCTCTTATAAACAGTTTGGCAACGTGACAGGTCGCCGGTTAATTCCTCTCCGATTCTGTCTTTTCGCTCAACCCGCGTGAGCGGTCGTGGGATGACAACGGCGCCAGGAGGAGCCGTCTCAAAACGCAACGCAATCGTAGCGCCATTTATTGTGACAATTAAGATAGTTCTGTACTGCTCGTCATTCTTCTCGAGTGCCCTCTTTCGCTGTTTTTCTCTATCTCGCTCTTTCTGTCTCAGCGTGAGAAAGAAGGATCACGGCGAAAATTCGAAGACTGCCGGTTGAATGACAACGGCCTGTTGGGTCGTTCAGACAGACGAAGTAAGTCGGCGAGAGACACTCGCAGAAAAGAAGCGAGGGAAAGGGAAGCAGAGGGAAAAGAAAAAATAGCAAAATATGAATATGAACAAAGAAGCATACGCGCAAGTGATTCGGCGGCCACGTATGTAAGTGCGGGTGCGTCTGCATGAAGGCATATTGTGCATAAGAATGAAGGAATATGCTCTTCCTCGAGGATGACAAACACGGTCCTTGCGCGAGTACCTCGTCCGGAAACAATGTTGGAAGAATAGAACGCTGCATGTATAGGAAAGAAAATGGCGGGGCGCTGGTATCTTTTCACTTCGTCAAGGTCGTCGCTGATGGGCAACGTAATATGTCAAGGGTTTGGCATATAGGCAGCCATTGAGGGAAAGCAAACGATGAACGACGACGATGATCATAACTTGGTTCGTTGAGAATGACCACTGGACGTCACTGTATTGGTACGACGATAATCCAGTAGTCACATGGATAGGTGGCAATGGATAAAATTTTCAGCAGATTTTCCGACTGGGAAGAACAAAGACACAAGTGCAGAATTGTCTGTTCTACCATTAGGCTATCCGTCTCTTCATCGTATATCGAGAACGCACATTTCTACTAAATTGCTTCCCATAAAGCCGGTCGGCAGAGTAGCAAGAGGTTGTGTAGTTTTTGCATTGGGAAAAAGTTATTTATCATTAATAGAATAAAAAAGAAGGTTGTTAGTGCGATCAGGTACGAAAAGTCTAAAAGGAAAATTAGGCATGACCGCTGTTAAAGGCTGAAACGGCACTGTTTGTGTGTGCGTGTGCCGTGTAACCCGTTTCTATAGGCTGCTCATTTCTTCGCTACGAACCGTGAGGTTGGCTGGGGAATATTTGCCGAGCTTGCTTTTTGTTTGTTTACCAAAGGATAGAGTTAAAATTTTTTGCTGTCGCACAAATGCCCCCTTCGTGGCTTGGCCAAAAACAGCTCATAATTATGCAAAACATGTTCTTAGTTCGAGGTCAGAGTGTGGGGCCGATAGGTAGAAGCAGACGTGCCACTGCGATTTGCAAATCGATTCTGAGTTTAATGGAACGCGAACTTTTAATATTACACAACAGAAAAAAACCGTTGTTAAATATAATATCTAGCAGATAATTGAGATAAATTCTACTAATGATAAAAACTATAAGTTAAAAAAAAGCCAAAAACTCTTCTAGCAAAATGTTTAATTAAAAGAGCTGCAGTATTTGGACTAAAATTGCATCACGATTTTCATAGAAGCTGTTATTAAATTGACTCAGAGAAGAAGCCCTAGCGGGGATATAAATTATGTCTTAGCCACGAAATACCCCAATGTAAGTTGGTCGTCTGGTGTGTGGTCCCATAAAAATTGCTGGCATAAAACTTCTACATCCAACGACAAAGATGGCGAGTACGGATACTGTGTACAGTACGTTTAACTCGAAATTTCGACATGCGGAGTTTTCATAGACAAGCCCACCTTATCTTCAAGACCTTGGAGGACCCTCTTTGTGACCAGCGCCATCTATGAGTCGTCCCAGACGACCCCTCATAGGGAAAAAAAGACTAGTTCAGCATCTTGTAGACGTATTCGGCTGTAGTTCGATCCGACCAGAAAACTCACCGAACAACGAAAAAAACATATTCTGACAGTTTTTCTACGAGGGAAATCGTGCGAGGGGTACATACGGCCAGCTTTGGCGACCGCCTCAAAGGGCCGCCGCAACATGGCTCTTGGCTTGTTTTGTCAAGATGGTCGCTGGCGCAGCTGCTTCTGCCTTTACCGCTGCGTTTATTTGTTTACAGCATGACCGCTGCTGAGCTTGCGTTCGCGGTCCCGACAAAGCGAGAGTGAGAACGAGAACTTTGCAGGATCGCTTGTGGGGCCTCGAGCTGCTTGCAAACCGCGAGCGATAAAACCCCGTTTTATCGGAGCACTTGATGTTCACTAGCGCCCCCTGTTTTTCGTCCACTTCCTCTATTGGCGTTCTATACGAATGCTATAGTGTATACATAGAAGCCAAACGTGCTCGCTTGAGTTTGCCGCCTGTGCTCGGAATCAGCGCCACTGATCTTCAACACACCACCACTGTTTCCACCATTGCTAGCTGGCTAGGCAGTCTGGCGGGCTGCCACTCCAGCGCTCACTGTTCATACCCTCAAATGTTCCCTTACCCGCTTGCCAAGTTTTACCATCGCCCACGCCCTCTCCCTTCTGGCAGCAATCTCTTGCTGCTGCTATGGTTGGAGCGCGGACTGGAGTGGAGCGGGTGATTCGAGTTGTTGGTCAGAGTGGGTACGAGTGCGCTTAAAGTAGGACGACCGCATGGTGGTGATAGGTGACGCTTTAGGTCCCGTGCGACGCACTGCATTAATAGCACAATCGACGCAGAAGAGTTTGTTGAATCGAGTTAATTGGAGGGCTGGGTGAGTCTGCTTCAGCCTGGCTGTGCCTTGTTTGTCCTGATGTTAGTGATTGCTATACGGTGCATTTTGGCGCGCAGTAGAACGGCGGTGTTCGAATTCGAACAGCAGTGAGACAATGGAAAATAGTGAAATCGCAGAAGATCCTGCTGCTACACACATATAACAACATATCGTTATAGTGTATGCGGCATCTGGCTGTTGACGGTGGTTAGCAGGCGTCACGAATACGGGGTGTGTATGTTCATCGTTCATATACCAACGGAGAACGATAGCAGGAGTAGCAATCGAAGCGACAGTGAATAATAATTGCAGCTTGTTTCTAGAGGGCTACTTATTCATTAGAATAACAAATTACAGAGGTTCTATGTAAGTGAGTATGAATGTATTTGTGATCTTGCTGGTCGACAAGGAAGAGTGAGTATAGTTCACGAAACGCATGGATCAGCTCTGTCGATTGGATGGTCTTTTCGATTTAAAACAGTCATAGAACAATAGTCGAGATCGTAATGAAAGTAACCGTGTTAATGTTGCTTGATTACCAAGTGAATGGACAGGTCGTATTTGCTACACGCGGCCAGTGGCGTGCCAGCCTTTAACCAATTACTAGGAACCTACTACAGGTTTAGTGCTGGTGCGGGCCAATTTTGTGAAATTGATTCTGGATTGGCGTGTCACGGAGCGTGCGTTCAATTCAAGTGTCTGCCAGTAGAGGAAGGCACAAAAACAATCACAAGATCAACAGCTCCTCATCAAACTACGGATGCCTCGTCGATAAAGGTAAGACACGATTTCGAGATGGAAAAACGCCAGTAGCAACGGCATCCATTGCGCTAATCCAAGCAGTTAAAAGGAACGAATAAATCCGATAACTCGATTACACCTTACGCTGGCCAGCATCCCGCTGTCGATGCAACGCGTACTCAACTAACGTTTAATTATTTTGCTTTCTAATTTGCAAGCCATTTACAATATAACAATGCGGAATGATGAATTGGCGACTGACAGTTGTGGGATGAAGCCCGACCGGCAGAGGGCATTGGCTTGCCGACAGGCAAGTCGGGTCGTTAGTTGTCTTTCGTTGGAGTTTCCATGCTGAAAACTTTAAGCTCTTTGTGGTTATAGGTTTTGAACGCAGACGGACTTTTTCGTCTTTTCTTACTCTATTGTATTCTTCCTTCATATTTGTTCGATAATGCCGCTGCTGGCTCGAAGTTACCGAAGCTACACCTAACGGGGTCCACTGCAATTGCGGCCGCTCCCGCAGTCGCAAGGCAGCTGCACCTTAACAAACACACGGCTGAATCCCGTTAATTTTAGGTTGTCCCAACATGGCTCATAAATCACCATGCATGACGGCCCTAGCGGCTGACAATAGTAAGTTTAACGAGAGACGTTTTCGGACTCCCACGTTCCTCTACTTGCCTCGCTGTCAAGACGCCACCACAAATGCTAATATGGTAAGGGCTGTCTGCAAGACACACCAATGATGAAACCGGTATCTGTTCTTCTACCGATCGACAAAACTAGGGTCGCACGCAAAAAAAGACCGAATAAGGGAATTATATGGGTTAGTTCATTTATGCCCCCCTACAAAAGAAACTCCCAGCGAACTTCCTCTATGGGGAACCTAATTTCGAAATTCACCTACATCTACTTCCCAGACAGGTTTTCTTCTCACCATAGGAACTACTTAAGGCTATATTAAAAAGAAAGGACTGACAGCTACCCACTCTTATAGCCTACTGTCCTCCCCCCCCCCCCCCCCCCCCCCCCCCCTCTACTCATAGGTGCCATCCCTTTCCTGTAAAAGAATAAATGATAGATAGCTAATAAGCGCTTTGCGAGCTGTTTCGCTGTTGGCATCTATGTGTATATATTGTCGAATAGCAGAGCAATCTGAGTATTTCGGCAGAGTAAGGAAACTCTTCGGGTAGGAAAGAAAACCAGTTGTACGAATTGTACACGAGGAGACATCGACTAAGTACCACTATGGTTTCTGATGATAGAGAAACTAAAAAAGGTATAAGCAGAATGAGTTTTTTAGTTCCTCTCGTTTTGTGCTGTTCCTCTGTCTGTCCTTTTTTTTTGCCTTAGTTCTCTTTCATCTTTTTTGCCCCTTACGCGCTCTTTAGCCTATGCTAAAGCCGCTGAGCTTTCTGTGCGCCATCAGGCCAGTTTCGCTTCGATGGTTGGATGCTGCCTAAGCAGTGTTCAAGGGGGCTGAAAGCAGGCGTACCGTACTAAAAGGAAGTGGGTGTACGAAACGCTGGTAGATCCCATGTTTCCTTGTGGCAAGCTACGTACTGTCCCTCTATAGTTCTTCCACGTGGCCCATCGTCTACTATCGCCTTTGTCGACTACCACCCCAATTTTTGCTCATGTATCTCGCTGCAACCCCCTTAGCATGCTCACAATGGCTGGGGCGGGGAACGATATCAAGTCGCTCTGCTCACTGCTAGTGGCCGTCGTTAGATATGCTGCCGGGCAGCAAGGGCTTGGGTTAGTCGGTAGAAAAGCTCTCCCGGCTCCACGCGAAGAAGCAAGCTTCTGCAATCCACACTTCTGCTAATCCCACTAATTTCGCATTCATTTTTGTTCCGTCTTTGCTGCCGCCGCCACCGCCACCGCTCCCGCCACTGCCGTCACCACTTCCACTAGCTACTGCCTCAACGACCGCCCAGTTTCAGGGGAGATCTGTCGTTTGCCCTCACAGCGTCTTCGTCCTATTCCTCGTCCTCTCCCTTCGCCATTTGGCCCCAGTGGTGTTCTTCCAAGCCGCCAGCGTAGTTTCCCGGCAGCCCATTGCTGCCGCCATAGCTGAACCTTTTGGAGTGTAGCTTGAATAGCTCCTCGGTAGGCAGACATCCGTTGGACACAGCCGCTTCATTCTCCTGGTTCTCATGCGTCACTCTCTTTTGCTCTGTATCTACGTTGTTCATTGTTCGCTCGCAAAAAGCAAGATGAAGAGAATCCCGGAGAGATAGGCTGTGGGGCCGACCCCTTGCGACAGAAGCTGCAGTTACAGATTAGTCGTTACTAATCACCAACATGGCCACCTCTTACTCTCGTTCTAGTTTTTCCTGCAGAGAAGAACTACTATTCTCGCCGATTTGCCTAGTCTCCGCCGCTAAAAAAAGCCAGCTCCGCTTTGGAATATCGGCAGGTGAGAGTAGCCGGAGAGTGTAGTAAGCAGGAGTAAGGATAGGGAACGACCGAGGGAATGAAGGTGGACAGAGCAATCAGGACCAGTGCGAGAGAAACAAATGAATTAAATTGTAAGCACGACTATGGCGACAGCCCTGGTATAATGTGTTACGATGGGTGATGGTGCGCTGCGAGGATCTGCGATTTTAGAAAATAGCTAATTCTGTATTTTAAAGGGGATCTGTATGGCTTCTATTCCCAAGAGTCGTCCGTATCTAGTCATTTTGTTAATTGTATATGTGCATAAGGCTTTTCTGGATCCGCTAATGCACAGTTACTGCAGAATACTAGATACTATAATGGCTGTAAGGGTTTTACCTAAAAAGCAATAGCAGCATCAGGACTACACCGTCGGTGGTGCTGTGGTTTTCTGTTAATGTTAACCAGCGATGGGGCAACTGGTTGTAATTAACCGTAATTTTCCGTACATTTTATGTTGTTTTTCAAGCATTGAACTACCCTGAGAGCAATGAAACCCTCAACTTTTATACCTGTGACAATAATACAAGCATTACCACTAATCCAGCCGTCTTCGTTATCACTGCGAACGCAATCGATACAAGACGAAGATTCTTTTTATTGCTCATCAGTGAAATAAAAGACAAAATCTGGTCGCAGTTCGCAGAATCGATAGCAATTACACGAACACCGATAGATGTTTATATATATTTAAACAGATAACCGTGAAGGAACAGGCGCTTCTTTCTTGTGTTAGAGTTCACCGTTTCGCTCCTATGGGACATACACATGCAATGAACAGTAACCTACTATTGATTTTCCGATGCGCGGTCTACTAGTATTTTATATATGACATAGAAGCTGTCTAGATGGAGATCATTACCATTGCGAATATAACAGATGTTATCATATGGGAAGCGTACCGAACAGCACCAACAAGGACTCTATGTTCCGACTCTTCGGCGTAGTTTAGCGGAAACTAACCTGCTACCTAGTGTTAGAAGTATCCTTTCGTTTGACGGAAATCTTCTTGCTTGATGCCGCCGCCGCTTCTGCTGCTGGACGCCTTTTTTCCCTGTCTATTCTCATTGTATTAGTGGCAACCGTAATAATCGTAGCGACAATGGCTGTAGGGTTGGTTGTACTACGAGTACCTGGTAGAGGCTGCTTATTGGCGGAAAGGATGGCTCCAAGCCTTCGTACTGACGCTTCTGGGGACCTTTTTAGTCGAGGGGTGGTAGCGTGCTTTGCCTCTCCTTTGGTGGCTAGCGTGACGGTTTAAAGTTACTCTGTTTGACAGTATCAAGGGATTGCAGCACTACCAGCAGCCAAGTGTCGAGTGAGATAGTCCTCGGGGAGTTGAAATCTCAGTTTTTACGCTAGCTGACCGGTATACTGCCCGACTACCGGCTGCATTGCTGTTCACTTTGGCCAAACTAAGCAAGAAAGCACGATTTGCCGCGAAAAACAAATCTGAGTGGCAAGCCAGTAAACGGGCAGCCCGGAAGGTTCACAGGGCCGGTAGTGTTAGTTTAGGCCTCCCACAGTCTAACATCTTCGACGTGTGCCATACTAAAATAGGGTAGTTCGAGTCACTACAAATAGGAACGTTAGCCAGCTGCTAGTGTATGTCTGCTGATGGTGATACCAATAAAGCAAGAGAAGTAGCGAAGTTCTGCTGTTGCGATTGAACTTCACGAGAATCGCATTGGTTTCATTTACGGTTTCACCCGTGTTGGGTCATCTGGAGTCAGAAAATCAAAGATTAGAACAGGTGGTAGAGCTCATGACCTAAGGACATGATAGCAAATCCGCTAAATGATTCCTAATACCCACAATACTGCGGGGTAGAAGGTGTGCTAACGCGACGGTTTAATAGTGGTGAAGCTATTCAGTTACCAGACTCAAACTTTCATAACTTCCTGAGCTGACTTGACGGTTGAAGCGCGATAACTGCCCTCAGTGTAGAGTTTTGCCGTCTGCTTGAGCCCCTAATCGATGTCGTTCGAGTGTTGATATTTAGTACACGTTGGGGCGGAGGTGAACAGGTGAGAAACTTGAAGCAAATCGAGCTGAGGTGTATTCGGGGTTGCATGTGTGTCGCTGGTATCGACGATTCGTATTTGAGACACGGTCGTCGTCGTCGTCCTAGTCGAATCGAGTTAGAAATAAACGACGAATAATCGTTCTCGAGATGGCAATGAAAAATTCTTGAGGTAAAGGAAGAGGAAGAGAAAGAGGACTTTGAGTGAGGTAGTACCTCAGGGAAAAAGCTATCAGAGAAAAATACAAAAGCGTTTGCCATCATTGTATCACGATGGCCATTCAATTGTTGGCGATTCGCCGGTCCAACAGACTGAAAGCGAAGACGCACACCGCAGTAAGTCTCTGATTAAATATCTATTTCGTTGGGTACGAACATATATATATATATAAACTGATATAAAGTGTGCATACGAAGCGTGCTCTGCTACGATATCGCTACCGCTATCGTATTACCTACTTCCCAGGCATCGACTTTTCCGAAGTCTGTTCTTCTCCCGGGCCGTCCGTGCCTCATGCAATGTTCTTTTAAGATCAGGTCCAACTAAGCTTTAGTTATAGAGAAGATATAT